GGGGGCGCACGGGCGGGGGGCAGTGCCCGGCACGCGGCCCCGAGCGCGATCCCGCAGGCCTCCCGTGCCCGAGGAAGGGGGCGGCGCAGGGGGCCCACTCCGGACGCACACACGCTGGCGCCGGAGCCAGATGTCCACCGAGAAGGATTCGCCCGAAACTTTGGGAGAAACCAATGGTCTCATTAGCCCCCTCCCACCCGCAGCCCAGAGTGGGGCCCGATGGTGCGCTTGGCTTCGGCACAGGCCTCCTCCTGCCGGCCCTCCGGGGTTCCCCTCTGCCCCCTTGTGGGGATACCCCTGCGTGCCAGGCTATTGGCTCTCCAGGGGTGTCCTGGCTCTCTCCTCTGGCCCAGACTTACACTTGGCACCCTGACGTGCTGGACCGAGCCCAGGACTGTGGTGAGGGCAGTGGCCGCTGGCACAGTCCCTAGGAGAGACGGCCTGAGGGTCCCTGCCAACCTGGGGAGAGCACTGCCTGTCCACCCCGAGATCAGGGCCCTGCCTGCCCCATGCCAGGCTTCCTAGTCCTTCTCCTGCCTCCACCGACCCCAGGGGTGGGTGCCCTGGAGACCTGCAGGCCCCTCCCAGTGCCCCAGAATGTGCTCTGTCCTCCAGGCACTGTCCTGCCCGGGCTTCCCTGGCCTCCACTGGCTGGATGCCAAGTACAGACCTGAGGAACCTTTGGGATGGGGCTAAAAACAAAGGTCTTCAAAAAAGATCCCCTGGGACCCAGGTGCCCGGTGACCTCAAGGAGTCTAATCAGACCCAGAAATCTGGCTCCTGGCTCTAGGGAGGGAAGGCAGGCAGCAACCTCTGTACAGATTTCCCAGGCCTAACGTCTAAATGTGTGTCCATGGGTGGATGACCTTTCGCCCTACAGCCTCTCACACGTCCTGGACAGCAGCTGAGCACAGTGGGGCCAGGCCAGTGGCCCCCTTCCCATCCCACCAGGAGAGGGTGGAAGACTCGCTTCCTGTGTGTGTCACACACTTTAACTACTATCCTTCCAGACGTGTGGAGCACCTTCCCACTATGCCTGGATGGCGTCCCTTTACTTAGGGCCAGCAGGCATGGAAGAGGACTCAAGCACAGATGAGTGCGTCCAGGCTGGAGCATCATGAGGATCGGCCTGTGGTGTCAGCTGGGCCAAGCATCCGGAGACTCAGAAGAGCAAGCGTAGGAGCTCAAAACAAATCAAGTGACTAGGAAAGGCGCTCCTGTAGCGTTTCCTCCTGGGAACTAGGAAAAGTGAAAGGTGCGAGGGAGAACTGGAGCTAATTGGGTTAGGGGATGAACACTCCTGGCTCAGAGGGCCAAGTGCCACAGGCACAGGAGCTAGTGGTGGGTGGGGTTATGGGGAGCACCCAGGAGCACCCACATTCCTGGGAGAGAGCACACCTGTGGTCTGGAGAGAAGAGTCTCTCTGAGTTGTTCCTCACTTTGATAGATTTGGGAGCAAAAGGAGTTAGTGCAGGAAAAGCAGAAGGATCCCAAGCAGCCAACCCCTACCGCGGGAAAACGGGTCCACAGCCTGACAGCTTGCTAGCGCGGCCTCCTCACCCCGCCACCACGGCGTCTCTGCAGGAGTCAGCAGCGCCCCCATCAGGCCAGTGCCGGTGGAGGCGGCCCTCAGGACCTTGGGCCCTGGAGGAGCGAGTCATCCCTGAGGGGCTTCTCTGCCAAGGCACACCGTGCCTCTGCCCCACCTTTCCCGAAAGTTCTACCGGAGACAGGATTTTGGAAGCAGGGAGTAGCAGCCAGAATGAAGACAGTGCGCGTGACCTTCCCCTCGGAATCTTCGTGAGTCCTGAGGCAGCTGTTGCCTTTTATTCCTCCATCTGTGTGCGTTTGGTCACATTTGTGCAGGTGCCCTTCAGAAGATTCCACGCTCCTGAACGGATCAGAGGACGTCTGAGAATGACATCTCCCGCGGAGTGAGGTACCTTCAGCCTTCCAGAATCCACACAGGGGTTTTCCCTCCATGCCTGGCTGGGTGCTGGGCTCACGGTCCATGCCCCAGTACTAATCTCCATCTCCTCTACAAACACTTGATGTGGGGCATAGGCCTGGTTCTTCTTTTTCCCAGCCCTGCCTCTGTAACAAAAATCGGAAGCGTCCGGTGACCACCTTGCTCACTCAGCGCTGGGCGAGCCTCCCAGCGCCAGCGAGCCAGCCTCACCTGTGCTGCCCCTTGGTCTTTCCAGCTCTCCTGCCTGCCTCGCCCACAGTTCCCGGACCTGACAGCAGTTTCCACAGCAAAGCCAAGTCGTGTCTCCATTACACCAAATGCTGCCAGCGTGCCACACGGATGAGCCACTGGTGTAGAAGCGGGCAGGGGAGAGGACCGGAAAATCACAGAAGCCGCTTGCCTGCCATGGCTGCTCCGTAAGACAAGGAGACAAGGTCCAAGCACATAGGACCACTAGATGTCCACAGAAGGTGATAGGCACCGGAAAAGCGACACTGGCAGAGGAGAGGAGAGGGAGCCACCCTTCCATTGGACCACTCCTGGATCAGACCTTGTGTGCTGCACCCCTTGCATGGCCAGCCCTCCTGTCATGGTGTAACCCCAACCTGGTCTCAGGAAGTTGTTACACTGATGGTATCCATAGGTGCTCAGTCACCTCCAGGTGAGCCCTGGCACTTGCATCCCCACAGAGATTTGCACAAACCCCACCTTCCCAAGGAAGACCTGACCTGCACCCATCCTGGCTCCTGCTGTTATCACAGACCCTAAGAGACTATTTCTTTGGGTGCTCCTGCCACAGCAGCATTTTAAAGGTCAAAAATCCAGTCCCTCCTCTGCAGTGAGTCCATGTTCCACATCTCAAACCTTCGCAAGCACCAGGAGGACAGGAGGGGCGGGAGTCAGTTTACTGTGCAGGGTATGACTGCAGTTCAAAGGAACTGCACATCTCATAGTAATTCCTAGTTTTAAATTTTCTTCTGCCAACTGTGTGTGTTTCTTTGGTGATTTTTGACTCCCTGCATAGATATGACGGATTTTTTTTCCAAGTGAACTATTGTCAAATTCTCAGTTACCTTCTAAAAAACTTACTGAGGTACAATATGCAGAGAACACTTACACAGAGAGCATAAGCGTGCAGCTCAGGGACTTTGTGGATGTGTGTGCAGCCTATCAAGCAAGTGCCAGGTCAGGGCGCAGAACATTTGCTGCTTGCCCCACATCTTGCATCCGCCCTTCCCAGGCAGTAATCGCCCCACCTGACTCTTTCCTTGCCTCTGGCACTAGGTGGTAGTTGCCTACCCTTGATGGGCAGATAAATGGAGGCTGCTTTGACTCAGCGTGTGCACACCAGTTTGTGTGGCTGGGATTATTCTTTCTCCTTCTGTGTAGGTGTATGTTTCTTTCTACCTGATGCTTCAGTTCTCTTCCAAGTTTAGTGTAAGCCGAGAGTAATCAAACCATTGCATCTAGATCAGAGACAAATGAATGACCTCCCAGACTGGCCTGTTTTATAAGAAGCTCCAGCTGAAACTGAAACAGTCCTGGGCTGCTCCGCAAACTGGTTTCCCCACTTAAGGAGAGGCCCGGGGCGGGACTGCAGGAAGACAGGGCCCCTGACAAACTTCGGACAAGTAGAAGGATTCCCCTGATGTCCAGAAATGTCTGAGCAGCCTGTAATGGAAAAAGGCAGTTCGACTCATGGTCTGGGCATTCCTTCAACACCTTTGTATTGTAAAGGAGAGGAAGGTAGAGCAGACACCATGAGGAAAGGTGCACCCCAGCCCCTGACGGTCATAGAGCATCTTTTCAATGCAATGCTGGTAGGCATGAAAGGAATCTGCAAAAACATCCACCCCAGCCCCACAGAGCACCTGGGACCAGGAGGCCTGCTATGCTCTGCTGTTGGCCAGCTCCCAGGGAGTCTCCCATGTTAAGGCTTGAGACCTGTTGTTCTTGAGGAAGCAGCAGGTTGGCATGAGTTTTGGGTGAATCTTGGGCATGGGGGAAGCAATCTAAAAAGGGGGTATAACACCTGGTTCCTATTTGTCAATGTTTTCAACTGACTTGTTTTGGGTGATTTAAAAAATACAGAGTACACAATACACCCTCTCAATATTGCTACATTTTTTGTTTTGCATGAGTGTTTTTGTTTTGTTTTTTTTGAGACAGGGTCTTTCTAGTTCATGCTGGCCTTGAACTCACTATGTAGCCCAGGCCAGCCTTGAACTCGTGGCAATCGTCCTGCCTCAGCCTCCCCAGTGCTACAATTAGAGGCATGTTCCACTATACCTAAGTTCTGTTTTTTTTAATAACTTCTGTTAAAAAAATTCAGAAGGATAGGCCTAACAGACTAAAAATTTTAAATTCTCAGAAGATAAGTTTAGAATTCACAATTTGAGCAATTCACTGTACTATCTAGATCATTCAGAAACAATACTCTCGAACACCTCTTACTGTACTGTGTGTATCTCCACCTGGGCAGGCAGGGTTCAAGTGTGGCAGAGAAGCCAGGGAAGGCCTGGGGGCTTATCTGTGTTCACACACTTTGTTAATATTAGGCTTAGACAGTCCATGTTTTTAATGAAGGTGAAATTGTTTATCTTTTCTCACAACTAATAAACTGACCTTAATTTTTCCTCTAATTTTTATTCTTATTAGTGCAGTTTGCAGTACGTAATGGCCACAGTACAGAGACGGTCCATGCACATGACACATCTTAATTCCTTTTCATCCCTATCCTTCCCTTCCCTTCCCTTCCCCCACCTGCCATCTCTTGTGCCCATTCACATTTGAGAAAGACCTATGTCCCTATTTCCTATTACTTATCTTTTGTTTTGCCCTTTATTTGTAGGTTGGGTTTGTCATATAAGAGAAACCATGTGATATTTGTGCTCATGTGTCTGCTTTATTTCACTTAACATTATGGTCTCAAGGTGCATTTCCTACATTTTCCTGTAAATGACTCAAGCTTATCCTTCTTTGTGGCAGAGTATACTCCATTGTATACACATGCCGCATCTTCTTTATCCATTCGGCCGTTCATGGACATACAGGCTCCTTCTAAGACTGAGTTATTGTGAGTTGCACGGCTGTAAACATAGGCATGCATGGCTCACTGTAATAAGATGTCTCTAACATTTTTAAAATTAATAGGTCATCATCACCAACAGAGTGAAAAGAAAAGTCACAAATTGGGAAAAAATTTTAGCCAACTGTCCCTCAGAGAAAGGAATTCTATCTAGGACACATATAGAATTTTAAAGAGTCAGGACCCCCAGATTCAAAGACCCAATCCAAAAATGGGCATCTGAGATGAATACACACTTCTCAGATGAAGAAATACAAATGGCAAATAAATATATGAAAAAATGTTCAACCTCACTGGCTATTTGAGAAATGCAAATTAAAACAACTCAGATTCCATCTCACCTCAGAAAGAATAGCTATCATCAAGAAACCAATAACAAATGCCGTAGGGGCTGTGGGAAAAAGGAACTCTTCTTCATTGTTGGTGGGAGTGTAGGCTGGTCAACCACTGTGGAAATCAGTGTGAAGTTTCCTCAGAAAACTAAAATTAGAGGTCCCATTTGACCCAACTATTCCCCGCCTGGGTATTTTCCCAGAAGAAGTGAAAACATCGTACCACTGCAATATATGTGCACCCATGTTTATAGCAGCACAATTTGTAAAACTTGATCTTGAAAACACCCCAAATGTCTATCAGCTGAGGAATGGATAAAAAAGATGTGGTATTTTTATCCTACAGAGTACTACTCAGCTATACAGAAAGATAAACTTGAGATTCATAGGTAAATGGATGTGACTAGAGACCAGACTCATAAGTGAAATAAATCAGACTCATATGTGTAAACATCCTATTGTCTCCCTAGTGTGAGCAAATAAAAGAGTAAATAAGATCCAAAAGGTACAATAGAAATTATGAAAGGGAAAGAAACTATTCAAAAGGAAAGAACAGTTGGGATGGGAGAAAGAAGAAAAGAAAGAGGAGGAAAAAAGGATATATCTATATATACATACACACACAAGATAGCTAAGATAATTGTACTACTATTTTGTATTAGTTCATTGAAAGGCATGGTTAGTGCTTACATTATTTGATTAATTTTGCATTCCTGTATCTGGTAATCTGAGCAACCACTTTGAAGATAATAATACGCAATATAATAACCACTGTTAATTTCCTATCATCTTGTTTTTGAAATTCTGTATCATTTTCATTGGTTTTTCTCCTCTTTAAAATAGAAAAATAAAAAAAATTCAAAACCTCATCTTAATAGGCCATATACCTTAAGTTTAAAAAAAGGAAGCTGTACTATGAATTGTGTAATCCCATTTTGTGAAGCTCAGGAAAATCACCTCTCCTTCTCACACTCTCTCTCCCGTATGTATGATCCTGATAGAGTGAGCAAATCCCTCAGATTACAAATACTTAGTGTTCTTCCTCTGAGGTTTTAAAAGTGGTTAGCAATGGGTTCTCCTGGAGGTGGGATTGTAGGACTTGGCTAAAGAGCAAAGAATAAAGAGGGGTTTCCATTTTTTATTTAATACTCTACTATAGCTTTAAAAAAATAGTAAAAAAGAACAATAACAAAATACAATCAAAACAAAGCAAGAACATTAAAAACACTACAGGGCTTCAAACTAAATGACAGGAATTAACAGTAGTTGTTGTATTACATATTGTTATCTTCAACAAAGGTGCTTAGGTTACCAGATGTTAGAATGGAAGATTGAGCAAACCATTAAAGAGAAGAAGAAAATAGTAATTTAAAAAACATTAAAGACAATACAGAGTTTTACTAGACAAGATGGTAGGAATTCACCAATGCTTGTTATACTGAATATTGTTGTCTTTGTATCAGTTGCTCAGATTACCAGATACAAACATGCAAAATTGGTCAAAATATAAAAAAAATTTAAGCATTAACTGTTCCTTTCAATAAACCACCAAACATCCACAGTACAGTTATCCCAGCTATCTTTCTCTCTCTCTCTCTCTCTCCCTTCCTCTCTCTCCATATGTATAGCCTTAGTTCTTTCTTTCTATATATAGCCTTAGTTCTTTTTTTTTCC